TACAGATAAGCAATTGGGGGTTTCGTTTTCATCTATTTCAGAGTATCCATAGATCCTATTCTCTAACTCCTCTTCTTTGTATTCCTTGTCACTATCCTCCAACTCTTCTTCGAACTCTTTTTCTTCAGCTTCTTCGTTGACGTCAGTGAACCATACTAGGGCAGTTATTACCAAGAGGATCATAAGTGATTTTTTTGAATTCTACAGGAAGGGTAAGTTCTTCCAGGTAAGGGTCATTTCTGAGGCTACCCAGTCGATTCTTGCTTGGGCTTTAGAAAGCCAATCGTTCTCAACGATGGCTTGATATTACCTAGTATCTGTAATAACGACATCAATCGGAATTTCTATTCCTCCAATATTAAAGAGAAAGTTGGATATCTCACCTAAAGCTCTCATACTTTCACCATAGACATTTATCATATTTACCATGGAGGGACGTTCGACCTTAATACCTAGATTCTGAAAGAGATGCGACGAAATGACACTTTCCAATGAACCGCTATTAACAATTAGGGGAATGGTTGCACCTAGTACCTGGGCATCACAATAAAGGGCAGTGGATTTTTTTTCAGAGCTGATACTAATATTTGCTTTTACTTTTCTTTTACTAGGGGCCTTTTTCTTCTGCAGACTCTGACCCAATTCTCTTTGTAACGCAGGGGCAATACGAAAAAGTTGGCTGTACGTAATATTAGCAGGCTTATCCCGGATATCCACAATGATTGAGCAGGGTAAAACCAAAGACACAATTTGAGGGAGTTCATCCTTTTGAATCTTCTTACGAATGATAAGTTTTGGCTTCACGACAGCAACTTTAGCGGGAACTATAGGGGGTCTACTACTATTTCAGGGGCGTTATCCATTTTTTCCTCCTTATTTGCTTCTTCCTCCATTAATTGTTCCAAAGTTTCCTCCTCTAACTCCGCCTCTTCTAATTCTTCTTTTCTTCATTTTGCAGGATGAAGGTTACCGCTAAGTCATTGAGGGTCCTGCTTAGCCACAGCAAACAAGAGAACGTCTTCCGCAGTGATACTAACATAGGTGTGGTAATTACTTGTACCACTGGGGATTTAGACTAGCGGCCAAAGCTAATAAAGCCTGAAGGGTTTCTTGCTGCTGATTCTCAGATGCATCGTTAAGCACAGATGGTGGTGGAGAGAAAGGAGGATTAATAGAGGCTTGAACCGGAGGCAGGTTTGGCTGGTTTTGTGAAACTGAATTAGGAGAAATTAGGTTGTGATTTGTCACTCAACAATTCCGGCTAATATGACCAGACTGACCACACCTATAACACACAGGCCGGTTGGTATTATCCAAAGTAGGTGGTCTTCTCTCCTGTAACTGCAGGAGCATTTTGTTAGCAGCCTCAGTCAGTTTTTCGATCGCCAAATCAGAGGTAGGTACCGGGAGTTGGACCCCAATAAGAGTGGCAAGGGTAGAGTGTGCCGAATACAAGGCATTTAATGAAGTGGTAGAATAAAGGAGACTCTGACAGCAGGCACTCTCATATGCCTTGGCACGCCCTGAAGAGTATTCGGGGTGGAGGGAGCAACAGCTAGGACGAATTCAGATCGTAGACCATTAAAAAAAATTTGAGCCTTGGCTGTTTCAGGGTACTGATGACCCCCAGATTCAACGCATTGAAGGAGCTCCTGAATGAAGGTATAGTAGCATCGATGTCTTCATTTAGTTGTTGCTTGTGTGTAGCAAGCTGGGCAAACCACTTTCCTTCCAATGTGGAGGTATGAAAATGGCCGATAAAGATGGGCTGAAAACTCGGGCAGGATTAGCACTGTTATTCCAAGCATTAATGGGATTGGGAAGCTTTTGGATAGTGGCCCACCAGGTTGCGGCAGACCTTTTGAGGTGAGGGATAACAACAGCAATCTTTCAATTATCATTAATTAGATTAGCTGCGAAAGCCTTTTCTACCTCATCAAGCCAGGGCATTGGATCTTGGTCGCCTCTGGCGAAGTCAGGGTAGGAAACAAGGTTTAACTCCTGATAGAGAACATTGATTTGAGCGGCAGGTGTGGCTTGCATTTGTTGAATTAGTAAACCGATCTGGGTGGCCAAATTGTTGAG